AGGCAAAAGAAAGTTCCTAGTCTCTTTTAAAACTGCAGGCCCTTCCTAGAACTTGTCTCATGAAATACACTGATGTTTGAAACTGTAATCACCTGTCCAATCAGCATTATCTGCCCTGCTGGTATGGCAAACTAACACCCTTTATATTTTATTTTTTTCAGAGCATCATTTCAAGCAAATTAGCATTCTCATCTCAACTGACTCACCTGACAGAAACAAACCCACCCACTGTGAGAAGAGAGAAGGCAGAAGAATAGTTCAGAAGGAGTGGAAGGAGACAGGTGGAAGATGCATTGGGCACTTTACTAAAATGTGAGTACTGGCACCATCGAATCCCCAATTTACTGAAAAATCCAGATTATACTTTTCTGAAGTCAGGAATGAGAAAAGTCAAGTTGTTCCACATCAAATCAGATATAACATCTTTGTTTACAGATGCCTTTAAGAATATTATGATAACTATAGTCTCTGCCCAGAAAAAAAAAAAGTACACATGGTTAACAAAATCCTATTCTATAAGAATAACTCACTATGATACTCGAGACTGAACCCAATTAGTCACAACATGCACATCATATATAATCCCAATCACTTGACTGATGTAAAATCTTTCTTGCATTTAACCTAAAGTTTCCTTCTACAGTTTAGGCCTCTCTCCACTTTTTCCGTCCTCTTAGCTTAAGAAACGATAAAGGAATTACAAACCTTCTTGTATGTTTTTGTATATGCTTGCAAAGGGTTATGAAAATTTATCATGATCATTCTTGCTTTAAGCTGAAACTTGCCTAATCTTTCCTCGCAGACTGTGGAAGAGAGTGCTAGTTGCCTTCCAATATCCAGCCATCCCTTCTGCATTAGTTGCTCAGCCATAGGATTACATATTTTGAGCCTCCCTTGCTGCTAGGTATAGCCATGTGATTAGGCTTTAAGCCAGTGATATGTGAGCACTGTGCTATGTGTATCTTCCAAAAAGTCTTCCTTCTTCTTCCCTTCCACCAACCTGCTGTCTGGAATAAACATATGATAGCTGGAAATCAATAGCCAGCCTAGGCCATGAGGGTAGGGGTGGTGGGCAACACGATCTGTTAACTCCCCTTCTGTAAGATAAATTTCATGAGAACAGGAATCTTATTTATCTTGGCCAAAGTAACATCTCCAGCACTTAAAAAGTGTGTGGCAAGTGCTTAGGGCTCAGGTATTGAATGAATACATGAATGAATGAGTTTACTCCAGACCCACACAAACAAGGGCTCAGCTTCTGCCACAGAATCCAACTCTTGCCTAATTCAAATCATATTACTCCTGTTTGCTTCCCTTTGCTCTCTCAGACTTGCCACTGACATAGAAGGAGAGGGATTCTTTTTTTCTTAATGCTCTCCAACATTCCCTTCAAATAAAATGTTCTCAAATCTGTTTTCATAACAGTGCTTCCCAATATCTTCCTGCTTAGCGAGTTTAAAATTCTTTAATTTTCAAGGTTCATGTATATCTATTTTTGCATGTATCTGTTGTTAAATGCAGGCACTATTTTGTAACTTAATCTCAGGTGTTGTCTTAAGTCTACAAGAATCGTCCAAAATGGTATCTAAATGACATTCCTATGACTTCAGACAATATTATTATTATCATGGAAGACAGTCACTGTGTCCTGAGGATTTCATGAGATGTTGGTTACTGAAACTGAACTTCATTGAATCCTTTCCCATTCCACTGTGGTTTTCCACATTTCAATATATTATCTGCTTTTGTCCCAAACCTTACTTAAATCTTTTAAACAGAATTAAATTAAATATTTAATCATTCTTGCTTTCCTGCTTTTTGAAGTGATCTTTTCCTCCTTTTGAATTAAAATATAACATTCCCTCTGGCCGTTTTTATAGTCTCATATGTGGTTAAAGCGTTTGTAAATGTTCACATTTTTTGCAATTACATATTATTTTCTTCTTAAATTTCTTTTGCTCTTTCCCCCAAATTGTTGCTATTCCTTTTAACTATTTGAGGGGAATAGTTAGCCCCATCTTCCACTTTTGTGATATACCTAATTACACTTGAGCTTTTTGGTTTTTTGCTCAGATATCTTTTCAATTTACCCACCTTTGAGGGAAGACATTATTTGGTTCTTGGTAGGTATTTTGAGCTTTTCAGAAGTGCAGACTTCTCTACACATATTCCCCTCTTTCCCAGAGTAGTTTTTCAAATAGAAGTCTATCAAAACAGAGTTTAAAGTATAGGTCATCAAGTGAGCTCTTCCTTAATTCTCTCCTCTGCCAGAAATCTTTCTATGGCCACACAGGTCCCTTCTCCCTCTTTGCTTTTGTATCAGTCCAAAACTAATCTATCCCTGCTCTGGTATGCATCCCCTTAGGCTTCTTTGGGGACCTGAGCCATTATCTTCCTTCTCTAACTTCAAAAACTTCTCTTCTCCATTGGATCTTACCTTTAACAAGTAAGTACACTCACCTTTAACCACACATCTCCCTTTACTACCACATCTCTCTTCTCCACCAAATGTTTGGGAAGAGAAGCCCTCAGCTCCTGTCTTCATGTTCTCACCTCCTATTCACTTCTTTCCCACTACCTGCTATCCAGCTTACTCACACACATCTCCAATCACCAAGCTGCCGTAGCCAATGGCATTTGTGACTTCCTGCCCTCCTGGCAGCATTTGATTCTGTTTATTAAGGTATTACGTATTGAGTGTTTACTGACCACTGTGCTAGGTGCTGCTGTTACAGAAATGAGAGGCAGCTGTCATCTCCACCCTCATGGGACTCACCTGATTAGCCGTTCCTGATTAATACTCAGATCCCTTGACTTCCACTGCTCTCCTTTGCAGGCTTCAGTTTCACTTAATGCCACTTAAATCTCCCTATCCTCAAAGTCTCCTTTCTTCCCGCCCCTACCCCTTTATTATACACATCTCCTCAAGGCAATCACTTCTATACCTATGGCTTTAATTATTTTCTGTATATTCTGATGACAATACAATTTTAAATGCAGTTTTCATTTAACAGCTTTATTTTGCACGACACCTCATTTGCTAAAACCATAGATTCCAAGTTGCTCAATGAAAATAATCACTGAAAAAATGTGATATTCTTAATATGTAAGTTTTAGGAAATTTCTCCAATTAGGCTTTTTGATTTCAGTATGTGTGTTATTTTTGAAAACATAAGTTGGCATGTTACCAAATGGGCACCAGAGAGCTCCATTTAAATATGCCACCTAACAGAGTCAAAAACTGTCTTCTTTCCCAACCCTATTCCTCTTCCTGATTTCTCTGTCTAGGAGAAAGGCACCACTGTCTACCTAGCCCCCAAACTAGAACCTTGGCAGCCTTTTTTTTTTTTTTTGTCTCACTTCACATCGTTCAACAGTTCTTATGTTTCCAGGATAAAATTTAAACTCTTTACTGCAGCATCTACTATGGGGTCAGATAGATCTGGGTTTGTATCCCAGGTTCAAGAACTGTCCAGCAGTATGATCTCAGACAATTGAAAAACTCTCTAAGCCTTTGTTTTCTTTTTTGCCTGAACTCATTGAGGGTTAGGACTGTTTCGCACATATGGTGCCTGGCATATAGCAGTAGAAGGGACTTAATGTTGAACGAAAGGAAGGCACTTTAAAATCCGCATCAAAAAATTGTTCTTCCTTCAAAAATTATCCTAATATGCAATGTCACTTTCCCCTAAGCTTGACTGCTACCTTTATTTTCTGATAATTACCATCAGGGACTTGTGGAGATCCAGACTACCTGGGATCAAATCCTAGCCCACCCTGAGTAGTCGTGACCTCGGGGAAGTTAACTTTGGAGTCTCAATTTCTTCAGAAAAAACTGTAAAACGTAAAATGGGAGTGTTTGAGGGCTAAATGAGTAACAGAACAATGTGGGACACATAATGCTTGCCAAATGTTAACTATTCGTTATCCTTTTCATCGAATCAGGACTGTAGTACTCCACTTGGTGGTTCTCAATTTTGTATGGGAAAACCGTGCTTTAAAGCGCTGTTGTCAATAAAAGAAGAAATCTGGAAACTCCTGCCAAGGAAGGGAGAAACAGGCAAGAACAGGGATTGCCGAGTCCCAGCGTTTCAGAGCTGGAGTTCGGTCCCAATTTTACCGACAAGGAAGTGAGAGGGTGACGTGTCCTCGGGTTTCACTCAAGACACACAGCCACAACTCTAAAAGTAGGACCATTGCCCCGAGGGTTGCTATGGTCAAGTTGCAGGCGAAAACTAACGCTTGTTGGAAGACAAGAGAGGAGCATTAGTTACACAAACGGTCAACAATTCGAATGTAACTAAGTTCGGTAAGCCAACGAAAGCTGTTAGACTCGGAGAAACCGAGTTGCTAACGGAACCAGCTCTTTAAGAACAGGGGCTTTCTATGGAGCCCATGGACGAGGACGGCCTCGGGCAGCAACAGCCGCAGCACTTGCAAGAAGACGGGAAATCTTCTGGCAGCGGGAGATGAATGGAAACCGGAGTCCCGGACACTCCGCGCGAGGGGCGGGGCATGCAGGGGCGGGGCATGCAAGGGGCGGGGCATCGTGAGTCACGTGCGGGGCTTCTGAGGCGGGCGCGTGGCGGGATCTCTGGCCGTGATTGGCTCCTGGTAACCAGGTGACCGAAGGACGCGTTCTGGTTGGCAAGCGCCGACCTGGGCTAGCGGCCTTCAGTCGGGAGGCGGCGGCGGAAGGAGGAGGAGCTGTGGTCGCGCTCCCTGCCGGCAGTGGATGTGTCTCTCAGCGCTTGTTGGGTCCCCACCCCTTTTAAATAAGCCGGGCTGGTCACCGCCCTCGCACACAAGTCAACTCCGGGAAGGCAGCATCGGCGCGGCGGCGGGGGTGCAGCCGAGGCTGGAGCCCGGCCCCGGGCTGGGCCCAGGGGCGGGCGGGCGAGCAGCAGGCGAGGCCGAGTCAGCGAGCGCGGCACAGCCCCGGCATAGCCTGGGGCTGCCCGTGCCGGCCGCGCCATTGTTGGGGGAGGGGGCGGCTGCTGAGCAACGAGAAGTCGGGAGCGAGGGAAGGCTCAGGCGGCGGCGAGGAGCGGAGGCACGCCATGGGTAACACGCTGAGCTGTTGCGTGTCCCCCAATGCCAGCCCCAAGCTGGGCAGGCGCTCGAGGCCGGCGGAGGAGGACTACGAGTCTGAGGTCTGTGTGGCTGCGGCCGGGGACACGGTGGCTGTAGCGCCAGCGCCGGCGGCTGCTGCAGGGGAGCCCGCGGAGTTGGATATCGGAGCAGGCGAGGGACACCACCTGCAGCACATCAGCGACAGAGAGATGCCCGAAGGTAAGGAGGCGGCGGTGGGCGGGCGCCGTCCGCCTTCCGACGCACCTCTGGCCTCCGCCGCCCCTAGGGTACCCCGGGAGGCAGCCGCCGCCTCGGGCTCCTTCCTGCCCGAGGCCGGCTTTCCCAAGGCTGGGCACCGAGGACGAAGGCTGTCCCTGCCTTGCGTCCCCACCCATTATTCTTTCCCCGCCGCGTCCGGCCAGTTTCTTTCCCTCCGTACCCGAACGCCCGGTTCTTGCCTCCTCTTCCCATTCCCCATCCCGGCCTGGGACCCTCCAGTTTGCGACCCTTCCCATGTGTAGTTCTATTCATCGTCCCATGGGACTTTATCAGGACTTTTTTTTTTTTTTTTTAATGTGTTCTCCCTTTCCTCAATAAAAACTCAAATACCCCAACTTTGGAGTACCATACCTTCTCCCAATCCTTACCTATCCAGATGGTACTTAAGTAAAGGAGTCAGGTAAGGGCCTGATTATTCCCTTCCTCCCACCCGTTGAGCAATTCAGACCCGAACATTTGAGGATTTATTTAAATTCAAAATAGAGGTTGCCATAGGAGAGTCTATATGGTTATGGTATTCCTTAGTAGACTCTTTTGCGAGTGAGTCTCCTAGAAGCTGCTTTCTTTCAACTATAAATTTGAACACAGAGGGAAAGAAAATGGGGGGAGAGGAGCTTAAAATAACAGTAAACAGTGTGAAACGTTACTTGCCAGGGCTGCAGAGAAGTTTTTCTTCCCCTAAGAAGTTTACCCATAGAGTTCTAAGTACTTTAAAATTCCCACTTTGACACAAATAGCGTATCTCTAGCCCTACTCCGGTGACTTAACAGACTTCATTTACCTCGCCTATTCTAGAGGAGATGTGGGGGCGGTTCCTGAGATTGTCGTCAAGTTTCGGAAGGGACGAAACGTACATTTAGACTTTGTAGTGTAACGGTTTGGGAGTTAAAATGCCCGATCCTGCCTGCGCAAGAGTGTTTGTTTCCATGGCTCCCCCCGTTTTCCAAAAGGATCTTGTTCAACCTAACAATGTAGAGGTAAACGCTCTTCAGATTCTAAACCGCTGGAGAGAGGGGGGAGATTCGAGAGGAAACGTTTGATTTTTTTTTTTTTTTCTTTTTCCTTCCCCAAGAATTTTGAAAAGGAATAAATCTAGGTAAAAATAATTCTAGATTAACAACGTGGTTCTGGAATACTAAATTCTTTGAAGTAAAAAACGTATCACGAAGATGTTTAAGCTCTTTTGGCCCATTTATTTCATTTGAATGCCAGAGGTGATTTCATTACAATAGAGGAAATGTCTTATAGCTCTTCTTCTATTTAAACTTCAGTTGGGCTCTTTAAAAGTTAGATTAAGCCTCATGATGTACTTTGCCTTTGTAACTAGGAAGTACTCACTTTTCAGAGTATTTGAAATTGTGAAAGAATGAACAAATATATGGATTAATTAATTGTATCTTTAAACACATAGCATGTAAGTACTTGTGAAAACTGCTCTGCTTGGTGGTGTAAGATAAGCCTCTGAGTGATTTTACAAACGAGTTAGTAGATGGGTAGTGTTGGATGAGAGCCCAAAATTGGACCTTTATACAGTTCTTTAGGATTTACAACATATTTTCATGTACATCTCTTTTGGCCCTTCCAAATACAAAAGAAGGCCAGTGTATATTTCTCCCAACATTGCTGAAGAAATGAAGACTAGCAAATCTGAAATGACTGTAAAATAGCTACTGAGCGGAAGAACCTTAGTTAGGTTCTAACTCCTAACTCAGATTGACATGGAAGTAGTAGATATGCCAAATTCAGTTCTTAAAAACTTAAAACTCTCTTCAGAATGCATCTTATATTTTACTGATAAAGTAGCCCTATCTGTTAGAACTTACTCTCATTTTGATTTGTTCCGTTCAAAATTCATTTTATACAACTTAGAGGCAACTTTTTCTTCCCATTCTATGTCTATACATCATTTCAGTGGATAAGAATAAAAGTAGAGGTAACAAAAGGGCCTAAATTTACCAGTCCGGGAAACTGGTTGATAGATTTGAGTTTGTTCTGGTAACTGTGAACTGAAGCTGAGAATGCCCTGGACGGAGGAGAAGCATTAGGAGAAGCTGGTAAGAGGGCAGGTAAGATACAAGGTATCACAGGACTATGATAAAGAGTGTTAAGTCAGAAAGTTGAAAAAATAGTTTGTGAGCGCAAAATTTACCGTTTTGCCTTTATTAACATGAAAGTTATATTTTCATTTCAATTTGTCTTTTAAAGTTTATTTTTGGGGGGCATTCAATAATGAAATTCAGTTTCAGCATTTGCTGTTCTTAAGTTTCCATAGAAACCTGCTCAGAACACCAAATATAAAGTATAGACACATTGAAAGTTTGCTTTTACTATCTTTATTTCAGACAATTTTATATCAGTTTCTGTGGAAACTGAAAAATACTTACTTAGATGTAAAACATTTTAGCTTTTCTATAATAAAGAATTGAATTATTTTGGTTACTTAGACAAAAACCATCCCTAAATGATGCTCTGCTTTGTTCTCTTCTGAAACATTTCAGAATAACATTTCTTCGAACCATTTCAAAGAGGTGTTCCTAGGAATCTAGTGTAAATTTCAGATAGACTCACAAGTATTTTCTAATGCCTTTCCTTTATTTAACAGTAAAACTGGTGGTAGTATCAGTAACACAAAATAAGATATTAAGATCTTATCCAGTTTCTCCCATGAAGGAGAATTTGGTGCAATTTTCACAACATTGCAAATGCATTTAATCCTGAAATCCTACTTTGAGGAATTTATCCTGAACGTATATCCCACAAAAATGAAATATATGCACAAAGTTTTTGTTGCATTATTTTTAATAGCAAAATATTGGAAATAACTCAGATGTCTAGTAAGGGAGTGGTAAAATAAACTGGTGTATCCACATAGTGGAGAACTATGGAGCTGTTAAAAAGAATGAGATCTCTCTCTACTGCTGTGGAGTGATCTCCAGGATATGTTACCTGAAAAAAGCAAGGCAGAGAACATACAGTAGACTACAGGGGAAATAATAGTATTTGCTTATTTTTTTAAAAAAAAACACCAGGAGGAATTCTTGATGATTATGTGTGACTATTATCCTCTTCCTTTAGTGAGTAGCCCAAGCATATTTTGCCAAAGAAAGATAGATGTTTGGTCTGGGTTTTCCATGAAATGCTAAATGTTTACTTTTTGCTTTTGAGTTAATTTGTGAAAGCTTTGTTTTGTAAATGATTGTGCATTGTTATATATGGATAGCTTTTACATTCCATTGATCCTCACAGTGTTTTTAGTTAGGTAATATAGGAATCATACTTATTTTGCATATCAGAAGACAGGCTCTGAAAAGTAAAAACTGAGTTTTCCAAGTTTTTAAAATATAAGACTTGGTAGGTCAGGAATGTGCATTCCAGATATATGGCATACAGGAATAGCATTTATAGTATGGCTCATTATATGGGCTTCTTTGGATAGTACCTTTTTTCTCATCTTTTTTTTAGGATATTAAAGTAAGCTTTAGGGTTAAAACAGTAACATTGGATAATGTGAAATGAAGTGGAAGTAACTTGCAACCCAGAAATGTTCTTAAAAATCTAAGAAACTGAGTTAAGTGCCATTAAGGAATATATGAAGGGAGAAAGATATATCGCAGTATATCAAATGCCATGTCTCAGCCACAATCGCTGAAACAGCTAAGCAGAAGCAAGGCATGAGCGAGCACCAGGCTGGGGCACACAGGAGTGCCTGCAGTGTGCTGTGTGCCCTGCAGTGAAGCAGGTCATCTCCTGGCCATCAGGTAGGAATTACCTGATGGTGGAACGTGTGGACTCAGAGACAAAATCCATCAGACTTTACATGGTAATTGTGAGGCTTGAAATGTTTGTGTTATGGGCCATAAGACTAATACAAGGCACAGTAAAGGGATGGTAGAGCAGGTCTGTAAATGTAGTAAGCCTTTAAATGAACAGATGTCCAGAAGTTGTCCCACAAACTGCTGACATCATCTATTTAATTAAGATGTATTGAAATCAATATGTTAAAATCAATCCCTTTTTCAGAAATATGCTGCTTCTGTCAGATAATTTCTAGGTCACTGCCCCTCTCCCTTTATTTATTTATTATTTTGGTAGTGTGGGGATCCAAACCCTTGACCTTGATGTTATCAATACCAGGCTCTAACCAACTGAGCTAATCAGCCAGCCCCCTCTCCCTTTAATATTTTAACAAAGAAAATCATTTGATAGTTTATAATTGCATAATTTTAACACTTTTAGCCTTTAGAAATGCATTTTATTTATTGTAACTTGCATATATTTTCACATTTTAAAAATATGTGCAATTGAGATGGATTTTACAACTGACAATCTCAGATTAGAAGAAAAGCAGTGGTGTTTTAGAGATTCTTCCTCTGAGGAAGGTTTACATTAAGATCTAAGTTTAATGTCTTTTTAAACTCATGCTTTTCCTACATCAACCTATCATGCTGTCAAATTAAGGTGAAGTTTAAATTGATATACAGAAATGGTGGGTCTTCAAATACAATTTTAATCATAACCCCTAATCATGAGATCAAGACTATTTCTCCTAGTGTAGAAGATTCTTAGAGGTTTCTTAAAAAAAAGGGGGGGGGGTTACTTATAAGATGCGTGGTAATTTGTGTGTTTTCACTTTTCTGACATCTCTCTAAATCTGTGTGTCCATGTATGCGTATTTGTGGGGCCTTGCTTAATAGCTGGCAGTCTTACCTTTGTGATAGCGAAAATACAGTAATGTGACTTAAGTCTCCTTAGGCTATTGGGAAAAGAGTTCATGGAGAGTATAAAAATAATAGTGTATGTGTATGAATTTACTGTCTTAATGGCTTAAATGTTCATTCTGTAAATTAGGATGTGTGGTATTTGTCATTAGAGATTACAAATTACATAGAAAATAGTGGTTTGCTATAGACAAAATATTTTCTGAAAATGTCATGCAAATTGACAACATTAAGGTCCTAGTGGATATAATATGTAGAGTACATACAAATGATTTGAAACTTACTAAAGTAGAAATGCCACCATTAACTATGGGAAAATGGTCAAACTGTGTAATCAGGTAAATGCAAATTAGGACCATAGTGATGTTCTTATTCACATCAGTAGGAATTTTTTATGAAGTATCCAAAGCTGGGGTAGGAGTTAAAACCGGTTTAATTGATAACATTATACCTTAATATTCCCTCTTCTCCTCAAGAAAGTAACAGCATTAATGCATTGAGCTATGAAAATGATCTAATCTTTTGCTCCTAGTCATCCCACTTTTGAAAATCTTTCCTAAGGAGATGAAAAAAATTAAACACTGTATATGTGGAAGTTTTCCTTACAACAGAACTTTGTAAGTGGCTAATCCTCAACAATAGGGAATTGCCTAAGTAAAGTATAGGAATAACATTTGAGGGACCATTATGTATCCATTAAACAGTAACTATGCTGCAATGGGGTAGAGATCATTTGTAACAAAATAGGGCATAAATTATATACTGATTAGAGCTATTTTTGTAAACATGCATAATAAAAGCAACTAAAAGTAATGGTTGTAAGTTCATGGATAATTCTTGTTTGTTTTTTTTTTTTCCTTTTTGTCTTTTTTTGTGACCGGTAACGGGATCGCAACCCTCGGTGTTGCGCCCATACCACGACCGGCAATGGATCGCAACCCTTGGTGTCGCGCCCGCGCCGCGCTCAAACAGTGAGCGGACCGGTCTCTATATGGGATCTGAACCCTCTGCGGGAGCGCCGCCGCACTCCCAAGCACCGCACTCTACCGAGTGCGCCACCGGGCCGGCCCTCATGGATAATTCTTAAACAAAGTGTTATTTTGGCTCTTTGCAAATTTCTGTTCATGATAAGGTATTTGAGAAAGGAAGGAGCAACTGACTTTTACCTATTCCTACCTTTAGTGTGATCATCAGTACTGCCGATTAACCAGGCCTCCTACAATTGCAAGTTAAAGAATATCTATCTCAAAATAGTTTAAATTTTTTTAAAAAGTATTGACTTGTATAATCAGAGAGTTGACAGTTAGTTGTACCACCTGACCCAGGAACTAAGTGATCTTCTCAGAACCTATCTCAGTTTTGTTATTCTGTTTATCTCCCCTGAAAAGGCTTTCCCTCCTGATGGCAAAGAGAGCCACCAGCAGCTCCTGATTAGCTATCTGTCCTAGAGTACAGCTCTGCCCTTCTCCTCTGGCTTTTGGGATGTTCCAGAAGAGCTGTGATTGACGGCCAGCCCTGGGTCATGTGTCCACCCTAAAACCCTGGGTGGGAGAGTGCCAGCTTGTCATTTGGGCTACTTTTGCTTTTTTTCTACATGTTTTCATTTCTTTTATCCCAGCCTTCTAGATTTTTGAATTTAGATACATAGTAGCACATCTTGGTTGTGATGGGGGAGGGGTGTGTGTGTGTGTTTTAAGCCTTCTCTTTGATTATCGTACCCAATTTTTCTGGACTTCCATTGAAAATTTTTAATTAAACGCTTTCATGACATCAGTACTGATATATAATATGGCTGCTTCTGCAAACTTTTCTGCTCAACTCAATTATCACATCTTTTTTCTTTTCTTTCTCTATAGATTTAGCTTTGGAATCAAACCCTTCTGACCATCCAGGGCCAAGCACAATTTTCCTGAGCAAATCTCAAACGGATGGTAAGACAATATTTTTTTCCCTCAAGGAAAAAGAGGAAAAGTGTTTGTTTTATGAGATGTACCTTAGAAAGTATTTAGAAGAACTCATGTAATGGTTTAAATTTTTCAATTTTTTGTATATTCACTTATTTTAATATATGATATACTTTCCTTTAGGTTGTCACTGTTTTAGTGAAAACACATGCACTTTGTTTCCACGTTTTGCCACCTCTTTATCAACACAGTTAATTGGCCACATGATTTAGAAGTGGTCATAGATTTGAACTTATTTCTCCCTACTACTTTCCGTTTTCCCCTTGCTCCAAAGAGCACATTTTTAAAGGTGAATGATAGGATTTAGGTTGCAGTTAGATTTTCGTTTGAACAAATCAGAAAAATCAGTTGTTTGTCTATGGGGATTGAATCTGTGGTTTCTGGCCTCCTTTACACAGTGCTCTAACCAAATGATCCTATCTCACATCTGAATTTATGCTGCTCAGAATTTTTAAGCTATTCAAAGCTTTTTTGTCCTAATGCAATGTAAATCAGAGCACACATGTGTATAGTGTTTCCAAGAGGGTTAGCCTCAGGAAATCTACACTAATTACACATGCTGTGTCCTGCTTGTTGTAGGATGAAAGTCAGAACTTTTTATGCATTCCTGCTTATTTTTCTTAATGTTATATTAAATCTTAGTTTATTTGCTAAAAAGCTATATGTGACCAAATTTTTCAGTTGATCACAGCAGCACAATACAAGAAGAATTGAATACAAGAAGTGAGGATTCTACAATAATGTTTGAATTAATGTAGCACAATAAAAAATGGGGGTTTCTAACCAGCATTTTCTTAGTTTGTGTGTACTTTGCCTGTCCTGAGTCGGTCATTTCTGGTTGGGATTGCTGTATTTCTCAGTTTCTTCCAGAACCCGGGGCTTCTCCCATGCAGAGAGAGAGTGTGGAAGCAGTAAAAGAAAAGCTATCCTCTGCCCCTCTCTCTCCATTAGTAAAGAATGTGTGCCTATAATGCCCAGCCAGCATTGAAGGAAGAGCTAGTGTGGGAAACAGTGCACCCAAGTCCCTCTTTGGAGCTTTTACTCTTGTGCCTTTATTAGAACAAAATGATTTTGTGTGCTGTAGATATCATGCTCAATTAGGTTAGCACACTCATTTAAAAATTTATAATAGGTTAGTTTCCAATTGTGTAAAGACTCATTTATTTTTTCAGTAATGTATTTTGGTAGATTACCCATTAGTGGTTCAGGGTGCTTCTAGGGATTCTGGTACATCTAGAGATTGATGCCTGGCCAGAAACCAGTTCTTAGAGCTATCATCTGTTAGATCCTGGTAATTAAAGTAAGTTGTGCATAAATGTAGAATTAGAAAATACTAGTGGGGAGTGGTTCTGATATACAAGAGGTAAACTTTTTTATTAGCTCAATTTCTCATCTGGCCTAATTTGTTTGCCCTTTTTTTTGTACATGGAGATTTTTTCATTTGTATCAAATAGAATATCTGTTAGGTCAAAAAGTAAAACTAAATATTTAGATTTTACTTTATGAAACTCATCTTGCAGATAATTTAAATTATAAATTTTGTTGAAAATTATAAAAAAAAAGAATGGAATTTTATCTCATTTTATATATTGATAATCCTTCAGATAATTAGCAACTATTTTTATTTTTCTATGACATTTGTATCAGAATTGATCAGATAATTTTTTTTATTCTTAGTGCGAGAAAAGAGGAAGAGCAGCCATTTAAACCATGTAAGTAAACAGTTGAAAAGTTAAGAAATTAATAGTTTCAATTAAAAGTATGTCTGCCATGATTCCTTAAAAATGGGGACCCAATACTGTTAGCATAGACCTCTTTTTGAGGATTTTCTAAATCTCTTTTATTTTCCTAAGTATCAAATTTATTCAGGAAAATCTTTGGCTTAGTAATGCCTGTTTTTTAAGGGTTTCTGACATTTAAGTCATATTTTAATAAATTGGTTATAGTATGAAGATCTGCTGTAAGTTTTTTGCCTTAATTTTTAAATCATTTTTTTAGTCAAAATAATTATAATAGCTAAGTCAATTTTTAGCACTGTCTGTTGACTTCCTGTCATAGCAGGTGAAAAAGCTTAGCTTCCTCACTCCACTATGACCTTATTTCCCTCCCTCCATTTCCTAAATGTATCACATTTTTTATTAAATCAGTAGTCAGTATTTACATTATGACTACGCAGATATTATACTGTTCACTGCTGAGTCATACAGTACTCTGACTGAGCCTCCTTCTTGGACACTTTTCATTCTAAAATATTTCTGAAATCTGAGCACTTCTGCACTTCTCTCAGATAATCCCCCTTTTCCTAGCCAACATTAGCTCACATAGCCAAACGCAATAAGTAACCCCTGGCTGCTCTGCCTGCTTTCACATTCTTTGTTTTTCTTTTTTTTTTTTTCTTTCATTGGTTTAAATTTTTTTGGCAGTTGGCCATTGGCCGGTACAGGGATGGAAGCCTCGACCTTAGTGTTATCAGCACCTTGCTCTAACCAACTGGGCTAACCTACCAGCCCACATTCTTAATTTTTTTGTGGGATTAGTTTTCTGACTATTTTCACATGCCTGTTTTCTCACAGCTGTTTTTTCCCCTAAATGTTGTAATGTTTGTCATATGCCTATCAAAAATATTTTCCATCTACTGAAACACATCTGTTCCATTTTTCTGTTGAAGACAACCTTCCTCGGCCTTTTGTCGTCCTGCTCCAGTATAGACTGATTTTCCCTAGGCTTGCTCTGTGCCTGTTTTCCTGGGATAGCTCTTTGAAGTCATCTCGGATTGCACATAAGTGCTCTCTTATGTTGGATCCTGTATGTCTTGAATCCTGTGTTTCTCTCTGTCTTGTTATACTCCCTTGTTTTACTGGAGGACATTTTCCTGGGAAAGGGCACATGGGCAGACATTTTTAGAGATATAGCCTGTCTGAGAACCCTTCCTATTTGATAGAGTATAGAATTCTAAGTTGAAACTAAATTTTGTAGTTCTGAGGACATCTCTTTATTGTGTTCTCATTTATAGTGTTACTCTTGAATCTATTGCCATTATATGATAACTTTATATATAACCAGTTTTAGTCAGTTTTCCCACATCCCTTTTGTGGAAGCTTTTAGTACCTTCTCTATCCCTGGGATCCTGAAATTTTATAATATTGTTTGGTTTGGATCTTTTTGCTATCTTTGGGCCATTAAGTCTGCAGACCATCTCTTCTAGACAGTTTTCTTGTGTTTCTTCGCTATTTTTTCTGTCCCTTCTTTTTTCTAGTATTCTTATTATTCAGATGTTGGGCCTCTTACACCAGAATTTCTTCACTCACTCTAATATTTCCCCCCTCCTATATTCCAGTTTGTCTTTTTGTTTTACTTCCTGGAGATTCCATGAGTTTATGCTCTAACTTTTCTATTGAATTTTTTATCCTGTTGAGGGTGTGTAGGAATTTTTTTCTTGTTTTCCTTTGCTCCTGAATTTTTACCACTTCCATGAATTCCTTTTTTCTGTTGTTTTTATCTCCTGTTGGAGGCTTCCCTCAAATGTGTGGTTGTCCCTGGCTTTCTTTACTTAGAAGCACCGTGCATGAGCAGGACTTGTTAACTGTGAGGATTTGGAGGCCAAGCCAGCTTTTTATTTGGGGGGCCTCAGTGTGTTATCTGGGGGTCTTCTTTGGGACATTTCAGTTTCTTAGAGAAGGATCTTCCAGTTTTTTGCCTGGGGAGTACAAAAGCATGGCTGCTTTCTTTCCAGAAGGAGACTTGGGAAAGGGAGGTGGAGTTCCACTTTTCAGTGTTCAGTCCCCCCCCCCCCCCCGGTTTTT